CCCCCCGCTCTGGCAGCCGCTGCGGCCTGGCAAAGGAGAGCCGCCGCAGACTCTCCGAGCTCCCTCTCCCGGCGACGACGACGACGACGACGACGACGACAGCGGCGGCGACGGAGGCGACGGCGATCGCCGCGAACGCGGCGACGACGACGAGGGGCGGAGCGGGCGGCGGCGCCCGCGGCGGCAGCGGGGAATATGTTTTTCTCGACCGGGATCTCCCAGACGTTGAAAAGCCGTGTACTTTTCCCTGCGAGGAAAAAACGCACGTCGTTCGCCATCGGCACCGCGGGCCGCGCGCCCCCGGCTGGAAACGCTCGCGGCGGAGCGCCTAAAAATAAAGGCGCGCCGGTTTTAGACCCCCCGGGGGCGCCTGGCCGCGAACTATTTTGCATCGAAAGGCAGAGGGGGGGGGGCCCGGGAGAAAGAAGAGGGGTGGGCGGGGGGGCAAGAGAAAAAGCAAACAAAGAAGGAAGACGATAAATAAGACAAGTGGAAGAAGACCGCGCACGGGGGCGCAGAGAGAGACGGGGGGGGAAGACGCGGAGAAACAGAAGGATCGGGGAAACGGGGATGGGATCGGGGATCGGCGCTCACAAGAGCACGCGCGAGATGCGAGGGGAGAGGAAGACAGAAGGAAGCCTTCTCTGCCGCGCGGGGTCCGAGACCGAGCCCGGCGAGTCGCGCGACCGCCGCGGAGGGGCGCGGGGAGAGAGGAATATCAAACGGCGCAGCAAACTAGGAGAGCGAACGCCTCGGCAGCAGCCGCCGATCACACTGCGGACCCCGCGCCGAGCAAGGAGAACGCGGGCCATTCACGGGCGCGAGCTACGGGCTACGCGCCCAGGCGACCAAGGCGAGGCGATGCTATTCTACGCCATGCTGCGCTCTCCCCTGCTGCGCGATTCCATGCTATGCACTGCCGCGCCTGCGCCCGGGCATGCTATGCGATGCTGCGCCATGCGGCGCAATGTTGTGATCCACCGCGCCGCGCTACGCTATGCTATGCGGCGCGACGCGGCGCGATGCGATTCTGCGCCTTCCTGCTGGCGCTAACGCCGCCGATGTTGATGGGGCGCGGCCGCGCGGGCCCACGGCCGACTTCGCCGCCGGGCCGCGCGGGCCAGTGGCCGGCGGCGCCTCCGAGCGACCGCGCCCCCGCGGAGGGCGCGCGAGGGTGACTCACTGAGAGACCGGCCACTTATGACCCAGCTGGCGCGCGACGAATTCTGCCCGAAAGACTGGGCGGACCACTTGCTGGTAGACTAGCCAGCTATGACTCAGCTGGCGCGCGAGCGTTGCGCCCGAAAGACTCGGCGGACTTCTCGGCGGCGAGACCTCGCGATGAGCATCGTTTACTCGACCCCTATCCCCGCGCGCGTTGCCTTGGCACCCCGGGGCGAATACTTCCACGATGGGAATATTCGCCGTCTCCCTTGGGTTTCGGGGGCGTATGCCCGCCTCGGGGGCGGCGGAAAGTAATGGTCTGGTGGGTGTGGGTCGATTGGGTTCGGTGTCGGTTAACTGACGCTGGCCCGAGGCGCTTAGGCAAGCTCCATGCGCCGCCGCGGCGGCGGGAAAATCGAAAACCGCTTCTGGGAACTTCGACGGACACGCCCAGCGCGGAACACAGCGCTGCGACGTCCGCGCTGTGGCTGCTGACCGGGGCCCCGGTGAAGGTGCCGACGAGGGCCATCCACTTCTCGGGGTCCTTCTTCTTGTTGCGGTCGGGCTCCGCGATCTCCGCCGGGCCGGCGGCCTCCGCCGCCGCCCGCCGCGCCTGCCCGGGCGGGGCGCGCTTCGTCGCAGCGGGCCAGCGAGCCCGCGAGCTCGAGCTCGATGATCTCGACCTTGAGCTTCTCGGCGACCTTCGCGCGGAGCGCCGCGTGTCGCTGGCCCCTGAAACGTGCCCTCAGGTCGCCGCGCGCGAAGCGCTCGTCGGGTTGCGCGTCGTCGAGGATCGCGGCAGCGAGCACCTGGCCGTTCGTAAGAGACCTGGCGGTAGAGGCCGTCGTGGAAGACTGCCTAGCCATGGCAATGGAGCGACGGGGCGCCTTGGCCGCCGACGCAGCGAGCCCGCGGCCCGCGGCGCAGCTGCCACTGGCGGCGATGGCGCCGCAGACCGAGAACCACGTGCTCAAGTTGGATTGGGCCAGCGTGGTCGGCGCTGCCCGCGACCTCCTGGCTGACGCGACGGGCGATGTTCGAAAAACACAGCAGATCGGAGAGGTGGAACATGAGTTTCACGCGCGTCGTCGTCGGGATGTCGGGCATGCCCGCGGGGAAATCGTCGATGGCGTTGGCGGCTGCTTCCTGTCGGGGGTTGCTGGGTCTCGGCCGATTGCGCCAGCCGCGCGGAAGGACCCGTAAAGACCTTCGCGTCCACAAAGAAGCTCCCCCAGCCTCCAAGATTCCTCCAAGACGGCCATGATGGCCTCCAAGACGGCCAAGATTGCCCCAGGGTGGCCCAAGATGTTCTCCAGACTGCCCAAGAGGCCCCCAAAACGGACATGTCATGTCCGTTGGTTGTCCAATGTTAGTGTTTTCGCCTTTTCATGCTTCCGATGCTCCAATGCGGCCCAATCGGCTCCCAAGATTACCCCAGGACGGTCCCAGAGGCCACTAAGAGGCCCGCCAGACGGCCCACGATGGCCCCAAGACGGCCTCAGAGGCCCCCAAGACGCCCCGTAGACCTCCTAGACGGCCCCAAAGTGCCCAAAGAGGGACCTACGACTGCCCAGAGAGGTCCCCAATACTGTCTCCGATGGAGAAGTCCCCAAGGGGCATCAGGAGGCTCCCAAGAGGCCCATCAGAGGTCCCGAGGAAGCTCCCAGGAATCCCCTGGAGAGCCCCAAAAGAGCTTCACGAGGCTTCATGATGTTCCTCCTCATCCCTCTTCTCGTTCTCCTCCTCTCCTCTCCTCTTCTCTCCTCTCCTCTCCTCTCCTCTCCTCGCCTCTCCTCCTCCTCCTCCTCCTTCTCCATCTCCTCCTCCTCCCCCATCCTCCTCCTTTCCCCTCCCCCTCCTCGTCCTCCTCCTCCCTCCTCCTCCTCCTCATCCTCCTCGTCCCCCTCGTCCTCCTCCTCCTGCTCCTTCTCCTCCGCCTCCTCCTCCTCCTCCTCCTCCTCCTCCTCCTCCTCCTCCTCCTCACCTCCTCACCCTCCCTTCGCTTCCTCTCCCAAGTGTTCCCCCAACGGGTGCCACAAAGGCTGGGGGGACACATAGTCCAACAGCTTCGCCAGGCTTCGGCCCAACCTTTGACCGCATGGACGTTCCCAAAAGGCAGAGAGCGGCGATGATTCGCCGTAGTCATCGTCGATCCGCCGCCCCCTGTGGCTTGCCACAGGGGTGCCTGGCTTGCCGAATGCCAAGTTGTCTTACCCATCTCAAACAATTCCCAATGTGGTCTCGGTCCAACCCGCCGGCCACCCGAAAGGACCCGCCAATTGCATATTCCGTCGACCTTCCAACGCAAGATGGCTCCAAGATGGCCTCCAAGATGCATTCACAACGACCAAGATGGCCCAACATGACCTCCAAGACGGTCCCAAGACGCCTCCAAGGCGGCCAAGATGGCCCCAAGACGGCCCAGCATGTCCTTGAAATGGCCCAGGAGGCCCTCAAGACGCCCCAAGAGGGCTGCAAGAGGACCTCCAGGAGGTCCAAAGCATTGATGAACCTGGTACGTTTCAACCATGTTAGCGTTCTCGCCTCTCAGATTTCCGACACGCCAAGACGGCCCCAGAGGCTCCCAAGAGGCCCAAATGGCTCCGATACAGCCCAAGAGGCCCAAGGGCCCCATAGACCTCCAAGATTGCCCTACTGCGCCCAGAGAAAGCCCCAAGACGACCGCCGAAGGCACGAGGTTCTTCAGAGGCTCTCAAAGGTCCCCCAAGAGGCTCAAGGAAGCCCCCAAGAGGCCACAGGAGGCTCCCAAGAGGCGCCTCAGAGGCCCCTAAGATGCTCCCAGGAAGCCCCCATGAGGCCCCAAGTGGGCCCCAAGAGGCCTCCTCTTCTGCTCTCTTCCTCCAGCTCGGAAACGCACATCATGGCTCGTAAAATATTTACAGTGCGAATAGCTGTTCAGTCGCAGCTACGGTTGCAGGCCGAATTCAGACGTCTCGATACCGTAGGCGAAAGTGCCTGATGACTTTCTGTTTCGAAAAATGCTAAGCTCCATAGCCAGCCTACAGCTCGAATAATGTAGAGAAAACGAACATCACCTCTTGAAAAATTAGCAAAGTACGAATATTGTTTGGTTCCTGCTCTGGTAGCAGACCGATCTCAGGCATCTGGATACATAAGACTAGCGCTCCTGATGATTTCCTTTCGATTGCTGTTCCGAACAGCTCTGTAGCTCATCTGCAGATTGAGTTAAGTTACTCCTCCTCCTCCTCCTCCGTCCTCCTCCTCATCCGTCCTCCTCCTCCTTCCTCCTCCTCCCTCCTCCCCCTCCTCCTCCTCCTCCCTCCTCCTCCTCCTCCTCCCTCCTCCTCCTCCTCCTCCTCCTCCTCCCTCCTCCCTCCTCCTCCTCCTCCTCCCTCCTCCTCCTCCTCCTCCTCCTCCTCCTCCTCTCCCCTCCTCCTCCTTCTGCTCCTCCTCCCTCCTCCTCCTCCTCCTCCTCCTCCTCCTCCTCCTCCTCCTCCTCCTCCTCCTCCTCCCCCTCCTCCTCTTATGTTTGCTCTCCCAAGTGTTCTCCCGTTGGGTTCCACAGCGGCCGGTGGAACACGTAGTCCAATAGCGTGACCCGACTTGGGATCAACAGTAGGCCGCATTGACGCTTCCAAGAAGCAGGGGGCGGCAGTGGTTCGCCGTCTTCGATAAACGTTCTAAGCTCCTCGCGGATTTCTTGGATCGACGCTCGACCCCTGGCGGCGCCTCTAGCGCCTCTGGCGCCGCCCCTGGGGCGCTCCGCGCGCCAGGGACTGGGGTCAAATGCCGATCCAGGAAATCTGCGCGGACATTCAGAAGTTTCTGCTTATGCAGTTGATTCCCCCTCTATCCTTGCCATCGTACCAGTGCCAGCCGCCCAAGAGTCTCTCGGAGTACTCGCAGCTGGTGTTGTGTCCACTGCGCTTGCTGACAGCACAGTGAGGCACAGCATCTGACTCGAGCACTGGAATTGTCACTGGAAGTTTGGCGGATGGGTTCACCTGGCCGGTCATCACCGCCGCGGCAGCATCCCCGGTGCGCTCCCCGGACAGAAACATCAGCAGCACCGCCGACGCTTCGTGCCTCCAGCTCATTAGTATCGGCCCCGGTGCCAGGGCAACCACCACGGCAGGCACCTGCATTTCCGATGCCATGGCCAACACCTGGGCGATGAAGTTGTCCTCCTGCAGCAACAGGCTCTTGCGGTCCGAATTCTCCTCGGACGCGGCCCCACCGCACACTACCGCCACCTGCGACTCTGCCAGCGCCTGTCTCGCGAGCGTCAGGCTGTTCTCTATGCTCTCTTTCAGGGCGAGGTTGGACTTCCGCAGCCCCTGCACCACGGACGTCGCGCTCCTCGCCGCGACGCGCCCAGAGCCGCCGACGACGTAGTAGTCCGAGTCCAGCCAATTGTCGAGGTCGATGTGGTGCCGAGCGTCGCAAGCCGCGCCGATGACCGCGACCTTCCCGGCGGCCCCGAGCGGCAGAACGCCCTTCTCGTTCTTCAGGAGGACGGCGCCCTGAGAGGCCAAATCCTGGGCCAGCGTGCGGTGCTGCTCCAAGATGGAGGCGGCCGTCTTGCCGCCCTGCGACTTCAGGCCGCACGTCGCTCCGACCGAAGCCTCCGTCGCGACGATGGCCGCCGTGTGCAACTCGCACGTCCCGGGCCCCGAGAACTCGTACGCCACGCAGGTGAGGCCATCCGTGCATGCACTCTCGCACCCGGCCTGGTCCAAGCCAGGATGGCTTGAATAGGTGCCGGCTCCCCCGCCCTCTGTGCGGCACACACCAGCCAACACCTCATAAGCTACAGCCTCGGCGGCGCCATGGGCACAGAGGCTGCTGGGATTCGCACTCCACACCCGCGCCATGCCTTGGAGCACGCGCTGCACCATGCCGTCCAGGCGAGTGCTCGGTACATGCCCGAGGACCTCGTCGGTGAAGAAGTTACCTGAGGGAAGATCTTGATCTGTGCCGCCCGCCACCCCCCCCAGTCCCGTCTTGAGCGCGTCCCAGTCGCTCATCACCCAACCATCAAAGCCCATGGTCTTCTTAAGGTCCTCCTGGATCGTCTTGGAGTTTTCGCACGCGGGCTGGCCGTTCACTGAGTTGTACGAGCACATCACCGAAGCAACACCAGCATCTACAGCAGCTTGAAAAGGCGGGTAATACACCTCCCAAAGGGTGCGCTCATCAATGATTATGTCTACGAGTGTGCGATCTTCCTCCTGCTCGTTGTTCACAAAGTGCTTCACCACTGCAGCTACGCCTTCACCCTGCATGCCCTCGACAAACTGCACTACCAGCTTTGCCCCGAGGTACGCATCTTCTCCAGAGAGGTATTCGGCATTACGCCCATTCACAGCAACGCGATTCACGTTCACCCCTGGGCCGAGCGCGATACTAGCTCCCCTCGCCTTGAACTCCTGGCCCATTGCCTGCGTAGAGGAAAAACAGCTGCATGAAGATATTTTGCTTGAGGTCCGCTCGGATGTCTTCAATGGGTGCTGGACCTCCCTCCCTGGCGCGCGGAGCTCGCCAGGGGCGGCGCCGGAGGCACCGCTGGGGAGGGTCCAGCGCCGATCCAAGACATCCGCGCGGAACTCCAACAAATTACGTAGCGCCCCGCAATTGCGGATAAGAGTGAAGGGGCGGGCGCGGGGTGGTTCGCGGGCGAGTCGCGGGTGGGTCGCGGGGTGGGTCGCGGGGGTGTCGCGGGTGAGGACGACGACAACAGCAACGCAACAACAACAATCCGCACTGCTGAACCCCACTTCAGCCACGCGCCCAGGGACACTGAATGACCGTTCGGCCCCTTCACTCTGATGTTTTTATGCCAACTCTTGTTTCTCGCCTGGACTTTTGGAAGTCCGTGCGGATTTCTCGGATCGGTGCGGCGCCGCAGGCACCGCCATGGGCGACGCAGCGCCGACCCAAGACATCGGGCAGAACTCCAACAAATTATTGTTATACCGTCGATGTCGGACGGACGATAGAGGCGGATATACCCGGGGCGGGCGTTACACGCATTCGCTCGGGAGCCTCGTCGAAGACATGGGCGAAAGGACGCTATGGACACATGTTTTGCTTTCCCTTGGGATATTCGCCCCGATCTTCGCCTCCGACATTTTTGTCCCCCGCCTGCGCCCACCGACGCATTGCGCCGGCATCCCACGTGGCGGCAACCGCCAGCGCGCACGGCCACGACGTCACCTGGCCAAGCTGTGCCCTCGAGGTGGGGCGGAAGCCCTGGGGCCCGTCCTGCATCGTGAGCGGCGGTATGGCAAGCCGCGGCACGCCCTTGTCGGCCACTCCGAAGGGCGCGGTGTGGTTTGCAACCGGCGCACACTGGGGGGCACCCTGGTGGGCGGGCGCGGACCTCGAAGGAGCTCCCCGCCGTCGAGGAGGCCCGACGAAGACGGCAGCGTGCCCCCAGGACCTAACGGCGCCGATTGCAAATCATACCTTTGCGTAACCACGCCCTTTCTAGTCGCCGACCTTGATGCGACCCACCCAATTACCTGTAGAGTTCGAAAAAGCAGCGTGAACGTAGACTTTCGGAAATCCGCGCGAATTTCTTGGCTGGCCCTCCCCTGGCGGCGCCTCTGGCGCCGCCCCTGGCGCGCTACGCGTGCCGGGGAGGGGGCCCAACGCCGCGGATCCAAGAAATCTGCGTGGACCCCAAAAAATATATGTGTTTAGAATTTCTCCTTCTCCGAACCTTTGTCGCTGGTGCCCCTGACCTGGGGGAACAGAAGCAACGTCAATGGCGCGCCGCCGTGGGGAACCCATCAGCGTATTACTGTGAACAAATCCACCACCGTGCCTCGAGGCCCATAGTGGACTGCCCCGAGGGTCACGCAGCTCTGAAAAATAAACACTTTGTATGAGGGCCCAGACTTCCAGTTCCCCAGGTGCTTTGGGAGTTCTTCGCGTTTCTGGGGTGTTCGCTGCGGGCCTCCGGGGCGGCAGCCCCGCCCAGGAGGGTTCCGAAACGGCCCTAGATGCCCCGAGATCGCTCCCAGGCGCCCAAGATTGGCCAGAGGGGCCCCCGCGAAGCTCCAACCGAACCCTATAGAAGGACGCAGGATACCTCAAATCCTCGATGTTGCTCAACAGTTTGGAAGGATTTTGACCCTTTCGCTTTCGTTCAGCTCCCACCACTCCAAGACGGCCCATAAAGCCTCCAATCACGCCCCAGGCCTGCCCATGAGGCTTGCGTGGGACCCCAAGACGCCCCAGGAGGGCCCCAATGTCACGGGCGGGTTCAGAGGTGCCCTGGGATACGCAACGAATGCGAGGATATAGAATATGTTTTATCCGTATGCGACGCGCGCCTCCTGAGCGACTCAAGGGGAATCGCACCCCAAGCCAAAATGGCCGCGCACTAATGCAGGACCCAAAAGGAGCAAAGAGTCGGGGAGAGGGGGCCACTCGAAGGGGTAGACGGGGACAGTGGGCCCAACTTTCGTAGGTCCTGCATGGTTACGCGCGCCGGGGAAAGGAGCAATCCCACCTCCGGCGCTGGGCGCCGCCGCAGGGCACTGGGCGGAGCCTCCCAGGTGCCGCCTGCCTTCCTCTCCAACGGGCGGTTCCTGTAATGTCTGTCCTCCTCATTTTCCTCTGAACTGGGTCTCCTCCTGAATTCGGGCCTCCCCCTGAACTCGGGTCTCCTCCTCGCCCCTCCTCTGAAAAATCCTCGAGCAGGGCCTTGCGACCAGCGCCCCGAAGGCGCAACTTCAACGATCGATTGAGCGACCGCTCGCCCGCGCGCCCGCCTTCGTCGGCGAGACGCAATGCACCGCGACACAACGAGTCGCGCATGGCCAAATTACTACACGAGGGATCGGAGTGAGTGAGCGGATCTGCTGGCACACGGCTGCGAGGGAGCCATCTCACCTGCGATCCCGCGGCAGACAAAGAATCGCGAGTGGCCGCGAGTTTGACCGCGCTGCGACGACCCGAACGGGAACCGGCGGCATTTTTCGAAAGGACATCGAATATCGATTTCGCGTCGACCACGGCGAGCGACGCCGCCTGAGAGCTAAACTCGCACGAGCTGGACATCACAACCGAAAAAGGCGAGGCACCGATGTTCCAGCCGGGCCGGGAGACGTCGCCGCAGACGGTATCGCGCCAAAGGACGTGGAGCCACTGCGCCTCCGCTATAGCGATGCTGAGGGCCAAAATTTCGGCGGCGACAGTCGAACTGAGGACACTCTTCAGCGGTTGGGCACGCCGCGACAGGACCGGCGCTCGAGCGCGACAATTCGACCTGATCGCTTGATCGACGAATCCGCGGCCGCGACCAACCAGGCCCCCAGGGGCCACCCCCCTACTGGCGGCCTCTGGACCTGAAGCATCCGAGACGGCAACAAATACCGCCGACGTCGGATCGAGGCCCCGCGCGGTCATCTCCTGGGAAGCGGCGGCCTTCAAGCAGCTGCAGACCGGGGGCTATCGCGCGCGCGACCGTGGATTCGGGCATGGCGCCAGCCGAAGTAAAACTCCCCCCGAGAAACCGCTGGGCCCGCGCCGCCGCAGCTCGATTGGATCTCACTTCTGAGGGGGTCGAGGGACAATTGCGATCGGCTCTCCCAGAACGAACGCTGCGCAGGCATCGCCGTGATGTGTTCCCTTATGAAGTGTTCTGGTCGATGGTGATCCCATCAGCAAGCTGCTGTATGTCGGCCCGAATCATCGGACTCTCCCTCTTTCCACTTGCCGGGCAAAATTAAATGCCGAGGTGGTTCCCATGCGAGGACTATACAAGAACTCCGGGCGGCCCGCGACGACGCGGTCGTCGACCTCGACCTCGCCGAAGACGGGCCCCGGCGCCGCCCCGGTCTTGCTCCTTCTTACCCAGCGACGGGGCTTCAACAGCGACATGGCGAAGCCTTCGCCAGCGAGCCAATCAGTCAGCCTCTGGCGCTATTGCAGCGGGGCGTCGTTGAGCCCACGCACGGGGGCCGGCAGCTCGATCGGCCGGTCTGGGCCGGTCCAGGGAAGATGGCGCCCCTCAACAGAAAACGCACTCGGCGTCCGTGATGGCCGCGGCCCAGCAGAAGAGACGCCGCGATGCGAAGGCTCGCAAGCACGCTCTCCGAGTGAGGGGCGGGGCCGTGCTCTTCGAGGGTTTCGCTGTCTGGACCCCGATGGCCATGCGCGCGCCGCCTCGATTTTGCGCCCGGCCTGGCGCCGATGCCTTCCACTGGCTTCATGCGTCTTACCGTGCGAGAAGATAACATTCGGTCGGCGAACCTCCGACGCGCCGTCAGAGATTCCCCCGCGCTCAAAACTCACGCCGCGCCCGCGCCCAGCTCGGCGCCCCACTCCTCGGCATCTGGCGCCGCGAACTGGCCCGATCTTCCGAAAACGCATCCTCGAGTCCGACCTCGGCCCCCCGGGCCTTGATCTGCGCCGCGGGCTCGCTGGGCGCAGAGGCCAGAAACGAGGAGTCACAATCGCCAGGGGGGCCTGAACACGACAGAAAGAAAGACGCGAAGTCGGGGGCCCCTCCACTCTCGACAATTCCAACAGCTCCCGAGCGAGAGCCCCGCCCTGCTCCACGCGCGGAGCGGGCCGCAACAGGTCGCTTCCGCCAGCCCCCGCGCCTTCCGCGAGATCCGCCGAGGGAAAGCCGCGGCAAGCGTCGGCCGCGCCTCCGGCTCGATCCGTGGACCCGCCCCTGGCCGGGCGGCGGAAGCTCCCGAGTCGGCGGGCTGGCGAGCCCTCGGCACTGAGATGCCCCGCCCCGGGCCCGCGGCACGCGCCGGGGGAGGGTCTCGGAAAAGCAGTGCTCGGCCGCGAGCTGAACTGGCTCGACAGTCGAACCCGAGCTCCCGAGAGACAAGACTGAAACGGGATCCGCGGGCCGCTCGGCCACTGGGGGGGCCCCCTGGATGGCCTCCGCGCGCTGGAGGACTGAGGGCGACGACTGATGGTGCTCTTCCAGCAGCGTGAGACGAGGCCGCCTGTCGAGGGGGTCGACCGCCGGTCGCGCGTCGCTCCTCGAAGCCGACCCTGGCGCGGCTCGAGCGGCGCCCAGAAAGCGCATCGATCCAGACACGGAAGGGGCCGGACCCGGGGGGGCCGAAGACGCCTCGGGAAAGGGCCCCTCAGCGATCGAAGGAGGCCGCGGGCCTCGAGAATCGGGGCCAGTCCCCGGGGCCACCACAGGGGGGGTAACGACGGCCAGCCGTCGGGTGGAAGGATCTTCGGGAAGCTCGGCCTCTTCGTCGGGACGGTCGTTGCCCTCGGGCGGTGGGGGGCCCTCCGCCGCGACGTCGACAGCGCCCCGCCTCTTGCCCGGAGAGCGGATATCCTCACTGAGTCGATCAGAAACAGCGCCACGGAGAAGCTCGGCCCCCATCGACTCGGAGCGAATTGCGGGTCGCACTTGCTCCGCCGTGCACTTCGGCAGCTTCGCCCTCATGGCGGCCCGCGCGCCGCCCCCCGCTGCGCTTCCGCCAGAGCCCGCCGACTGGCGGGCCGCAGCTCTCGGGCCCGCCCAGCGGCCCCGCTGCAATGAATGAGACCTGCTGGATGATGCAATGCGACAGAACACGCCCGCGCGACCCTCATCAGCTATTCTCGATCGGGCGCCTAGGCCCGCCAGGGCATTGCGTGCTTCTTCTCCGACGTGACGCTGGCGGGCGAACTCGCCCGCGGCGGCGTCGAGATCGGCGGCTCTCGTCGCCCTCGGACCCCACGAAATTAAAGGATTATCGGGGCGCGCAGGTTCGGGCTGGAGAAGAGCTGCGGCGGGCCGCGGCCGCCGCGATGAAAACCGCGGTTCTCGCTGGCCACGACTGCGCACGGCTGCAGGTCCGTCTCTCCACTGGAGGGGGGGCCGACGAACTGGGCTGCCTTGGAGAACGCGTCTTTAACCATCACCCCGCGTCTCTCACGCTTGCCATTTTGAGGGGGGGGGGGGAGGCGGCAATCAGGAGTCAAAAAAGGTTTTCTCTGGAGTTGACCCTCCGCTGGGCGAGCATCGCGGCATTCGCCCTGGGATGGGGGTTAACTCTAGATTCAACCCTTCTCGTGGGCGCCGAGCGTCGCGGGGGCCCGCCCTGAGGGGGGTTAACTCCAGATTAAACCTTTTTCGCGGACGCCCCGTGGTCTCCGCGTGCAACCCGCCACCTGGCAGGAAAACGATGAATCTAGAGTTAACCCTTCTCGTTTGGACACTCCCTAAGAGGCCGCGGAGGTGGAGGGCGAGGGGGGGGGAGCGAGAGCGAGAGCGAGGGATATATACATATATATATAGAGAGAGAGATCACGAGAAAGAGAGAGAGAGAGAGAAACATAAAGACAAACGCATAGCGATATATACATAGAAAAAGAAAGAGGGAGAGGGAGAGGGAGAGGGAGAGAGAGAGAGAGAGAGAGAAACGAAGAGAGAGAGAGAGACCATAAACAGAGAGAGAGAGAGCAGAGAAACACAAACCTAAAGGAAGGGAGGCATTCAACGCAACTCACATGTAAACCTACATATGCACGCAAGAGAAAAGGCGTGGAGAGAGAGAGAGAGAGAGAAAGAGAAAGAGAACATGATAAATACAGTGATATATGTACATGCATATATGACGGAGGGAGAGATGGAAAGCGAAGGGTGCAGAGTGACCGAACCTGTTGCCTGGATGCTCCTCGGCGGTCCAATGATTTTACGGCCTTGAGCTTCGCGGCCTTGTTAACCAATCCGCGGCCGTGCCGGGTTTTGCTGGAGATCGTGTTGGGGTTGTTTGCGGGTCAGAGGGTGGTTCTCTCGGGTTCGTCAAAGGGGCCACCAGGTCGATTCGGGAACATCTTGGGAATGCCTTGAGATCATTTGCAGAGGTCGCGTTGGGGTCATTTTGAGGTCGCTGGAGGGTCGCATTGGGGTTATAGTGAGGTCGCCTTAGGGTCCTGATATCGCTCTGGGATCGTCATGGGGTTGATGCTATTGTCCCGGGGTAGCCTTTAGGGCCAACCACAAGGTGACGGGGTCCTCTCGCAAATGGCGATCTCATTAAGGCCGTCTCGGGGTCACCCTGTGATCGTCAAGGGTGCGAAGGGCCGTCTTAGTGTCGTCTTAGTGGTCATCAGGGGGTCGTGGGATCACCGTGGTGCCATAACGCCCTTCCGAACAATCATCACCCCGCGGTCGCCCAAGAGGCCTCCAAGATGGCCCCAGGACGGCCCAAGAGGTTCCCAAGACGGCACCCAAATGGCCCCAAGACGGCCCAAGGGGCCTGCAAGGCGGCCTTCAAGACGACCCTGAAGCGCCCCAAGATGGCCCCAACGTCAGACGGGCCAGGAACGCCGCAAGACGGCCGAAGAGGCTCCCAGCAAGCCCCCAAAGGCCCCCCGAAGGCCCCCAAGAGGCTTCCAAGAGGCCCCCAGGAAGCTCCCAAGAGGCCTCAAGGATGACTCAAGCAGCTCCCAAGAGGTCTCCTCATCCTTCTCCTCATCCTCCTTTTCCCTCCTTCTCCTCTTGCTCCTCTGCCTCCCAAACGCATGGTCCAATAGCGTGGCAAAACTTTGCCTATACGCTATACGTTGGCCACATAGGTGTGTCCTAAAAGGCAACGGGCGGCGGTGATTCGCCGTCGGCGTCTTCGATATACCAGGTCTTCGAACAAAAATGGAGGAGTAACACGCTGATAGGCTGCGAACGCCAGCGTGTCACTGATCCCCTTTAATCCTCCCGGCGACCATTGCCCACTTCTCCGCCTTCGTCATCTGGCCGACCAGGTCTGCCGCCCAGGCGTTGATTTCGGCCCGTGCCCCTGGAACTCCCGGGGGCGTTGCGCTGTCACAGCGCGACCCCTGTGGAGGGACAAGAAGCGACATAAACATACACTGTCGGAGATCCGCTGGCGGCGCCTCCGGCGCCGTCCCTGGCGCAGACGCGCGCCAGGGAAGTGGGTCTCGCGCCCGAGCTCCCAAAGTTCTCATGCTTAGACGACATGTTCTTCTTCGATCCTGGGCCTGCAGCTCGACCTCGTCCTCGAGCGCCGCCGTGGCGCCGTGCTCTCCCCAGCGTGCCTTCGCTGGCCGATACAGCGCCGCAACGCCGTGAGCAGTCAGCGCGCCAGCGGCAGCCACCAGAGCGCATGTCAGAAGGCGGCGTGTCGCACCCGCTGCGGTGAGGGCGGGAGCGGAGCCGCTCTCACGGCGGCAACCAGCGCCATCGGTGGTGTCGCCACCCTCCTCTACAAGCCGCAAGGTCTCATGCCGGTGCATTGCGCACAGAGAATTGCCCTGCTTGCCCTAGATCTGCAAAAACTGCCCCAGTGGCTAGATCGTGTGGGGCGCGGCCCTGCGGATGGATCGCCATACGGCTTGAGCCAAACAGGCTACGGGTTGGAGAGTTCATGTCCAGAACATGATCAAAGGGGGAATCGCACGTGAGAGCTCGATTTGGAAAACTTTGCCTTCTGTGAATAATGTTGATGGCGACGTCCAGATTCAGCAGTAGCAAATACATTGCAAGATGTCTCACGCGGTAATGGCATGATTCAAATCACCTGCACTCCACCCATGCCGATGACCCCGACACTATTTCACATAAGAGCTGCAACATGCAAAGCGAGCGCCAAACTCGATTTGACAACCACCTGCCCACCATCCGTGGACCTGTTGAACACGTCGCGCGTCAGCATCACAAACAAAAAAAGGTGGACACCTAAACTTGAAAACTGTTTGCCCTCCGGTCGTGCGTGTTGTCGAGAACGTGGACAAAACCACACTTTCAAGACGATATGCTATCATCCGTGTAGCTTCGAGCCCTCCCCCGCTCCCGTTCCTGCGCGCGGCGCGGGAGAGCCGAGGCGCGAATTGCACACAACAGGGGGAGGAAGAATACGAAAGCGGCCGCGGAGAGGGAACTGCGCGAAGGCGGAGCGCTCAGAGATCGTGGGGCCTCTTGGGATGTCTCTCGGGGGCGTCTTGGGCCATCTCGATGGCGCCCTGGAGGCCGCTGGACGTGTCCGGGGGGCCGGTCGGCGGTCTCGGCCTCTCTGGTGTCCGGCGTCTCGAGAGCGTCTTCGGTGCTCCTCAGGGCCCTCCTGAGCTGTCGGGGGGCCCTTGTAGGCTGTCGTGGAGCCAGTTGGAGGGCCGCGTGGGCTTTGCCCGAGAGCTTTGGGCGCCTCTCGGGTCGTCCGAAGCGATCGGGATTCGGCCGTCCGGGTGCCCTCGGAGGAGTCCGTGATGGCTTTCGAGAGCTACCTCAACGCTACCTTGGCTTTTCTTGATCCGAAGATGCTCTCATGTGGCGACGTTTGGCTCCGTCTTTGGACTGGTGAGCGTTCTATGGGGTCCTCCTCCTCCTCCTCCTCCTCGTCCTCCTCCTCCTCCCCGTCCTCCTCCTCCTCCTCCTCCTCCTCCTCCTCCTCCTCCTCCTCCTCCTCCTCCCCATGGTCCTGCTCTTCCTCTTCCTCCTCCTCCTGCTCCTGCTCCTCCTCCTCCTCCTCCTGCTCCTCCTCCTCTCCTCCTCCTCCTCCTCCTCCTCCTCCTCCTCCTCTCCTCCTCCTCCTCCTCTTCCTCCTCCTCCCCGTCCTGCTCCTCCTCGTCCCCGTCCTCCTCTGCCTTCCCTCTGTTCTCCTCCTCCGTTTCCGCTGCCCGCCCTCGTCCTTCTCCTTCTCCTCCCGTTCCTACCCCCCTCCGGCGGAGGCGGGAGGTCGCTGGAGGTCCCTGGAAGCGATTGGGAGCCAGGGGAGGCGGTCAGAAATTTCAGAGGAGCTTTTGCAAGTCGGGACAATGGACAACACTGCCGAGAGCTCTGGTGTTCCGGTTTCGGCGCGACGAGGAGAGCTCGTCGGCGAAAGCTCCAAAGCGACGTCCTGCACGATGTTCCTGGAAGCCTTTCCGGGAGCATCGGGCAGGACGTGGGCGCGAGACCTCCTAGAGAGTTCCTGGCGTCTCCCGTGCGGCCTCCCAGGAGCCTCTCGGAAGCATTCTGGGGGCCTCCTCAGGGGCCTCTTGGGGTTTAGTTGGAGGGCATGCTGGGGGGCTAGCTGGCGGCGCCGAGCGTCCTGGGGGCCCCTCTTGGGGGGCCTGCTGGGGCCGCACCGCGGCCTCTCGGGGGTCTCTTGGGCCATCCCGCACACTTGGGCCGTCTTGGGCCCTCACTCCCTCCCCCCCCCCTTTCCTCATCATCCCTCCCTCTTCCATCTGGGGGCGATCTTTGGGGCTCCTTGGGCTGTCTGGAGCGGCAAGGATGCGGGAAGAGCGAGGCCGGCAGCAGCGTGGATCGTGGAGGCGTTGTGGTCAGACGGCACGATTCAGACTATCACTACGTCCAACGCTCACTTGAACGAAGCTGAAACAACGCCGTCTTTTGACGCTGAGGCGCTGGTAATATAATTCTGCATTGAATTTGAGTCTCGCACATTCATTACACAACGTGATGCGTTGCCTTGTGCCAGGCAGCTCTTAACCGTCTTCCCTCCGGCTGGCCGCGCACGGCCTTAGGCTGAGCCCAGAACTCAGAACTCAGAAGAACGAGAGCGCTAAAATCCTTCGAAAGCAAACGGGAAATCTATGACTTTGGCTGTTGGCACTCCCGTGGGGGGCCCCTCGGAGCCTTTTGAACGCGTCTTGGGTCCGGGTGGCTCCTTCAGCCGTCGGGGAGCCCTCGAAGCCCCCTATGAGGAGGCCCGGAGCCGCCATGCGAAGCGGTGGCAGCGGTCCGGCCCACACCCCCCAGTCTAGGTCTCCAGCATCGCACCAGATCCAAATTCATCACTATAGGTGTCAGCAAGGTACGTGGAGAAACGGGATGAGCAATGATGAGCAACTACCCGCAACGTATTCAGCCCCTTCTCCGCGCGAGGCGACTATTTACATGAACGCTCCATGCAAAGGAACACGTTGCGAGGACAATCTACCCCGCTGAATCTCCCAGAAGCCCACGAAAATGGCGACAATCTGGCAGTTCGCAGCCCCCCAAGGAGCCGCGAGGTCTCGCCTGACTACCGCCTCCGCTGGACCTCCCAAGAGCCCACGAAAAAGGCTACCTACAATTTGGCAGTTCGCAGCCCCCCAGAGAGCCGCGAGGTCTCGCCTGACCAACGCCTCCGCTGGACCTCCCAAGAGCACACGAAAGTGGTGACAATTGCGCAAGTGGCGAGGAAGGGAGGCAGGAGAAGGGGGGAGGACGACGAGGAGGAGAAGGAGACGCGACCGCAGCGCTCTATTCAGAACGAGAACACAACACAGGAGGAATGGGAGTAAGCAGCAGTCGGTCTGGTAGAATAGCTGCAACCCAACTTAGACATATGTTATGCGCATGGCCCAATTACAAAATCCGCCGGCCCCCTTGTGGGGCCACCAGGCTGCGAGGCAAGGGTTCGCAGTTTCCAGTACCAGTTGTAGCTTGTAGTGTCCAGTGTTACAAATCTGCTTCTTGCTGGTTACTGTAACTAGTTGATTGACCGCGCGAGGGGGGGGAGGCCCAAACAGGATTTTTAGCACCCCCTGGGCGCGTTGTCTGAATTGCTGGGGGGGCTCGAAATCGACACCCCTCACGCAGATCCGCGGGGTCAGGGTCCAAAAACACATGGGATTTGCCACATTTCTGAAATTCGGTGCCACCCCTCACGCAGATCCGCGGGGTCAGGGTCCAAAAACACATGGGATTTGCCACATTTCTGAAATTCGGTGCCACCCCTCACGCAGATCCGCGGGGTCAGGGTCCAAAAACACATGGGATTTGCCACATTTCTGAAATTCGGTGCCACCCCTCACGCAGATCCGCGGGGTCAGGGTCCAAAAACACATGGGATTTGCCACATTTCTGAAATTCGGTGCCACCCCTCACGCAGATCCGCGGGGTCAGGGTCCAAAAACACAGGGGATTTGCCACATTTCTGAAATTCGGTGCCACCCCTCACGCAGATCCGCGGGGTCAGGGTCCAAAAACACAGGGGATTTGCCACATTTCTGAAATTCGGTGCCACCCCTCACGCAGATCCGCGGGGTCAGGGTCCAAAAACACAGGGGATTTGCCACATTTCTGAAATTCGGTGCCACCCCTCACGCAGATCCGCGGGGTCAGGGTCCAAAAACACATGGGATTTGCCACATTTCTGAAATTCGGTGCCACCCCTCACGCAGATCCGCGGGGTCAGGGTCCAAAAACACATGGGATTTGCCACATTTCTGAAATTCGGTGCCACCCCTCACGCAGATCCGCGGGGTCAGGGTCCAAAAACACATGGGATTTGCCACATTTCTGAAATTCGGTGCCACCCCTCACGCAGATCCGCGGGGTCAGGGTCCAAAAACACAGGGATTTGCCACATTTCTGAAATTCGGTGCCACCCCTCACGCACATCCATCGCAAGGCGTGGTAACCCAAACTGCGAGTACTCCCTCGGCCCTTTAATCCCAAGGTGTGGTAACCAAGCTCGTAAACCATACACGTCTTACCAATCGCCCTGTGTGGTAACCCCTCTTGTGATCAGTTGGTTTTGCCGATTGCGAGTCGGCCTCGCATGAAGTTCCGATACTGCTGCACGACAGCGCCAAAGCCTTATGACTTAGCTCTTCCATGGCCCATTCTCCGAGAGAGGGGGCCGGCGGCAGGGGGCGAAGCCCTTACGGATAACACATGCGCACACACACACACACACACACACACCGCTTGCACTGCATCGGCCATACCCGTCAGACTGATCATTGCCTTATGCAATGCCGATACATCGGGCTTGCTGCGTACATCTCTGCCGACACGCAGCCAAGCTTAAGTAACTGCCGACTAGCGTGCTCTGATGGCAATCAAAACCATGGCAACACTCCTTGCCACCAGAAGTACTTAAACGGCCAGGGGCCCTGCATTGCAATGCAACGTATGCGATCGTATACAAATTCCGTCTCGTCGGCCTCCGATCCATCGGAAGCGTTTCCTCGGCTTCGGGCTCTGGGGTGGCGCTGGTGGGCCTGGGGCCATCAGAAACGGATCTGGGGTGAAAGACTACGTCGCGATTTGTTCAGCGCGGTGCCCCCGGAGGTCGCGACCATTTCCCTGGGACCAGATGTTCATCCCGAGTAGTTTTCTGACGGTCTCGGAGCCCAGCAATGGCTCCTGGAGGCCGAAATCCGTGAAAGACCGCCGTTCTCGGTTTTGAAATCGTATGAGGTCTGGGTCCTCCGCCTCTGCTCTCTGCCTTTGTGCCTCCGCCTCCTTCCGCAGCCGATGCCCTGGAGGAAGGACGTCTCGGAACTGAGCGTTTGTTCTGTCTTGGGAGTCTGTTGGGCCTTGTGGACTTCTGGGGGGCGCATTGAAAGGCGCTCGGGGTGAGAGACTCCAAAGGCCAGTTGAACTCACCCGGCTTGTCCCCTTGTTGGATGCCTCTTGGGAGCCTCTTGGGCTGTCTGTGAGGCTTCTTGGGCCGGTTGGGAGGCCTCCCGGGCAGTCCAGGGGTTGTCTGGGGGGCCTCTTAGGTCTTGGGGGCCTGGTGAGGCCGATTGGGCATTCATGGGGCAATCTTGGGAGCAGGTAACAAAGACGTCGAAGCTCAGAAGAGCGAGAACGTGAAAATGGTCGGACAAAAAAGCGAAGCCTGACGTGTTGTTCGCTCCTCGAAGCTTCTCGAGAGCCCTCGTGGGGCTCTTTGGAGCGTGTGGTGACCCTCGTGGGCCGTGCGCCGTCTTGAGGCCATCTCGAATTGAGGACCTCTTGGGGACCGCTTGGGTCCGTTTAGGGGCCTATTGGGGCGGCCCTCTTGAGCCGTCTTGGGGGCTTGGGCTGCCTTGGGACTCTGTTGGAGCTCTCTTGGGCACTCGTTGGGCACTGTCAGGCGCCTCCGATGGTCCTCTAAAGGCTCTCTTGGGGACGTTCTGGGGCCCTTTTGGGTTCTCTTTGGGCCGTCTGGTAGCTTTCTTGGGCCGCTCTTGGATAATCTGGAAGCCCTCTTGGGAGCCTCATTGTGCCGTCCTGGGGCGATCTCAATAGCATCCAGAGCTGTCCTGGGCCGCTCTTGGCCCGAAAAAACGGAAGCCCAACAATCCTTCAACACCAGGTGCAAATGCGTCTGCCAGCGTAAACCCCGGACAATAAGTCATTGCACTGTGGATGTGCAAGCTACGTGGTGCAAGCTTTGCTTTGTAATGAGAACCACGAACTGCAGTCGTGGTGCAAGCTGGAGGTGGCAACGTAGCGGCAACGAAGCGGCAGCGTGGCGACACCTCGCCAGACCCACCCAGCGCACGAGGCGGCAACGAGGCCGAAACGAAACGGCTGCAACGTGGTGAAACCTCGCAGGACCCACCCAGCGCACGAGGGGGCGACAGAGTGGCAACGGGCGGCAACGCGGCGAAACCTCGCCAGACCCACCCAGCGCATGAGGCGACAACGAGGCCTCAACGAGGCGGCAACGGGCGGCGGCAACGGGGCGAAACCTCGCCGGACCAGGCGGCAACGAGGCGGCAACGAGGCGGCATCGTGGCGAAACCTTGCTGGACACCCTCAGCGCACAAAGCGGCAACGAGGCGGCAACGAGGCGGATACGAGGCGAAACCTCGCTGGCCCCACCCAGCGCACGAGGCGGCAACGAGGCGGCAACGGGCGTCAACGTTGCGAAACCTCGCTGGACCAGGCGGCAACGAGGCGGCAACGTGGCGAAACCTCGCTGGACCCACCCAGCGCAGTAGGCGACAACGAGGCGGCAACGAGGCGCCGCGGCAACGTGAAAAATCGTCGCCGGATCCAACCATTTCCCAACGCTGCATGGGGAACATGTTCGTTTATGTTGGGGGGTTCCTGTTGGTCTCTTTAGAGCTCTCTCGGTCTTCTTTCCGGCTGTGTCGGAAACATCGCTGGCGATTTGTGGGCGAGCTCTGGGCTGACTTGTCTATCTTGGCGCGACCTTGGGGCATTCTGGGGGCGTCTGCCGCCGCGTGCGAGTCTCTTGAGCCTGATATCCTCTCATGGCGGTTGGATCGCCGGGGGGAAGTAAGAATTACCGCCCCGTGGTTGCGAGGTTCCTGGCGCGTAGGGTGAGATGGGGGCGCATTCACACACACACACACATATCTATATATGTGTGTGCATGCGTATGTGTATGTGTATGTGTATACGTATGTTATAAGTGTACACATGTCATAATGTGATGGAGTCTTGTCTCACTTGTGTGTGTACGTATTCCCACGCGTATATGTGCACACATACTCTCATCACTATATATCACAAGCGGGGTCGGTGGGAAAAGCCGAAAGCCCCCCTCCCCCAAAACTAGACCCCCTGGATCCCTGGCCCTGGGACCCCTTGGACGCCTTTGCTGAGGGTCTCCCCGCACTTCCAGGTCTCCAGGGCGTCCCTGCGAGGCCTATCCACCAGGCCAAAAGCGGTCAGGAAGGTGGTCAAACAGCTACGCGAGAGCCCCAAGGAGCTCAAGACATCCACCAGACGCCCGAAGACTGCCCGAAGAGCACCCCCAAAATGCCCTCGTAAGGCACAACTTATGGATTTGTTTAGGCTCTGGCGTGGTGTAGTTGCTCTTCGGTCTGCCAAACAACAGGTCCCCCGAATCGTCTCAAAACAACCCGAACGGGCCTCCGGACAGTCCAAGGGAGCGCCAAGACTGCCCAACAGGGCCCAACGACGGCCCGAAGAGAGCTCCATGACGACCCAAGATGGCTTCAAAATGCCCCCCGAAACACTGCAGATCGTGACCCAACCGTTGAAAAAAAACGTGGTCCCAGAAGCCCCCAAGAAGCCCCGAAAGTTTCCGCGAAGCCACCGAAGGCTCTCCCAGGAGGAGCCTGCGCAACAAAAGAAACCGAGGAGGATGGGGAAGGCGTTTCAGGTGTGGAGCGAGAACGAAGAAGAGAAAAGATAAAGGGAACACAATAAAAACAACTATCATAACTACGATGACGAAAACGGAAACACTGACGTACCGCCATCTTTTATTGTCATTTACTCAATCCGCCTGGATGCCAACCACCTTGAAAGACCACGGTGCATAGCGCGAAGCGCCATTTAAGCCCTCTGTGTACCTACATAGATCGACAATGCATACATACACAATGTACATACATACATACATACATACATACATACGTACATACATACATACATACATACATACATACATACACATACCTACATGTATATATACATATACATATAGATATGTACACACGCACACACACACATATATACAATACTGCAGTGGCGCTTCGCGCCATACACCTTGGTCCTTGAAGCTCGGTACGCAGGCGGAATAGCAGGAAGGTCAAGCCGACAATTTAGCGATAACTCCTTGTTGCCTTTTCCGGCATCGCCGCTATGATAATGTTATTCGTTGTCCTTCCTCCATGCTTCTTTTTCCTCATTTGCGCCATGCCCTGCGCATTCTCCCCATCCTCCTCTGCTCTTCGTGCGGACGCTCCTCCTTGGAGAGCCTCTGGGGGGCCTCACAAAAGTTGTTTTAGGCTTTCTGAAAGCCTTCTGGAAGCCTTCTGGGCGTGTTCTGGGGGCCTCTGGGGGCTTCATCGGGCCACCCTGCCTCCAACCGCGGTCTCCCTGAACGACCGGGTCAGGATTTGGAATATTTCGGAAGGTGTCTTGGGGCCATCTTGGGCCGCCAAAGGGCTCTCTGAGGGCCATCTTGGACCCCTGTTGTGCCGTTTTGGGGCTCTCTTGGACTGTCTGGAAGCTCTTTCGGATGGTTGTGGGGCGATTCGGGGGCCTCCCAGGCGGCTTCGGACGCCCACAAAACCGCCGTCTTGGAGCGTCGGGAATCCGAAAAGAGGAGAACCCCAAAATTCACCCAAAACCGATAGAAAATCAATGATTTGTGCCTCTTGGGGCCTTCTTTGGAGTGCTCTCGGAGGCCTCTTGGGGCGTTTCGGGACGATCTTTGGGGGTCTCCGATGACTTCCCTGATCGCCCTAAGTGTGCTGGGAGGGCTTGGCAAACCGCCCTGCGAGGCCCAGGGGGCCGCTTCATGCCGCTTCGAGGCCCGTCCGGAGGGTCCCAAAACCCCAGATCCTGGGAGTCCGGTTTTGGGGGGAGGAAGGGTTCTCCCTCCGCCTGGGCTCGCAAAAATAAAAGAAGAGGAATATCGGAGGCTGGGGAGCGTGAGCGGAAGTGGCCCCAAACGGGAAATCGGTTTCGGTTTCGGTGCGTGCCGCGCGTGCGGGCGAGGCGAAGCTGCGCAATTCCTGCACTGGTATAGGCCACATGGAACCCCAAAAATCGCCCGCACCCCCCGCCTCCGCCCCGGCCGGTCGCGGCCACCGATGGTTGTCCCTCGGGTTGTCTTGGTGGTTGTCCCGGTGGTTGTCCCAATGGTTGTCCCAATGGTTGTCCCGATGGTTGTCCCGATGGTTGTCCCGATGGTTGTCCCGATGGTTGTCCCGATGGTCGTCCCGATGGTTGTCCCGATGGTTGTCCCAATGGTTGTCCCGATGGTTGTCCCGATGTTTGTCCCGATGGTTGTCCCGATGGTTGTCCCGATGGATAATGGTTGTGCCGATTGTTGTCCCAATGGCTGTCATGATGGTTATCCCTATGTTTGTCCCGATGGTTGTCCCGATGGAAGCTGGCTGTCCCGACGGTTGTCCCGATGTTTGTCCCGATGGTTGTCCCGATGGTTGTCCCGATGGTTGTCCCGACGGTTGTCCCGATGTTTGTCCCGATAGTTGTCCCGATGGTTGTCCCGATGGTTGTCCCGATGGTTGTCCCGATGGTTGCCCCGATGGTCGTCCCGATGGTTGCCCCGATGGTTGTCCCGATTGTTGCCCCCATGGTTGTCCCGATTGTTGTCCCGATAGTTGTCCCGATGTGATTGTCCCGATGGTTGTCCCGATGGTTGTCCCGGTGGTTGTCCCGATGATTGCCCCGATGGATGTCCCGACGGTTGTCCCGATGGTTGTCCCGATCGTTGCCCCCATGGTTCTTCCCAGTGGTTGTCCCGATGGTTGCTCCGATGGTTGTCCCGATGGTTGTCCCGATGGTTGTCCAGATGTGGTTATACCGATGGTTGTCCCGACGGTTGTCCCGACGGTCGCCACGATGGTTGTGCCGATGGTTGTCCCGGTGGTTGCCCCGTTGGTTGTCCCGATGGTTGTCCCGATGGTTGTCCCGATGGTTGTCCCGATTGTGGTCCTGGTGGTTGCCCCGATGGTAGTCCCGATGGTTGTCCAGGTGGTTGCCCCGATGGTTGTCCCGATGGTTGTCCCGATGGTTGTCCCGATGCTTGTCCCGACGGTTGTCCCGATGCTTGTCCCGATGGTTGCCCCGATGGTGATCCGGATGGTTTATGGATATAAATATATATATATGTATATATAAATAAAGACAGATAGATTGGATGTTAGATAGATAGATAAAGAAGTGGGTCTTTACATATATTTATATATACACAAGACTTGAAGAACGCTGCGCTTCGCTTGGAAGTATTGGCACGATGCGCCGGCGCGCAGTGTGCGAGTGAAGTGCGACTACGCGGGCTGAAGCGTCGGCGATGGGCAGGGACGGGGATGGGAAGGTCACGGGCGCATGGGCGTCGGCCCATGGAGTGCGCGCGCGCCGCGCGCGCGCGCGCCGAGTTGGCAAGCGGCGATGCACGCGACGGTCATCTGCGATAAGATTCGGCGGGGACGCAACGCCGAGGGCAGGGGAAGGGCGAGGGAGGCTTCGGATGAGGTGAATACATCGAAAAGGGCGCTGGCAACGACGACGGCCTCATACCTCTGCAGATTTGGGTTGGGCAGGTCACGGATAATGGCAACGGAGATGATGGCGGAGTGTAGGAGGCGCACGTAGGACTACGACGGCGATGACATGGTTGTGGCGACGACGGAAGTGGGATGCACAGGGGACGGGAAAGCCTGACGCACGACTGGGGTTCAAGGGTTGGGAAGGTGATGGGGGGGCGAGTTGTGCAGAAGGGAGGCTCGCAGGGGGTGGGTGCTATGTTAGTGATAATGATTCCGCTCATGACAGGTATGGTAAATGCGGGGCATTCGGGACAACTCCAGGATTCGGGGGCCCTATCGGGGAAGACGGAGGGGTCGGAATCCTTCTTGGCGGGTGGGGCACAGGGGGTTGGGAAGGTCAGGGGCAGCGCCTGTGGACAGGGTGTTTACCATGGCGGTGACCACGGTGATGATGACGTGGTTGCGGCGACGACGGAAGTGGCATGCGCAGGGGACGGGAGGGGCAGGGGCTCGCCAGCCTGGATCGAAGGAGCGGCCCGAAATCGGGACCCCCCCCTCAGCCCGACGTGGCCTTTCTCTCGGCGTCTTGACTGTGTGCTCGGATCTGCAAATCTACACACAACAGACCTCGTGCCAGCGAAACGGTCTGGACGGCTTCTTGCCCGCATGCTTCCTTCCCTGTCCGTCTGCGCGCGCGGCCGCTGTTTCATCGGCCTGCGCGCGCGTGGCTTGCATTGTCGTGCCCTCCTGTCTTGCTGCGAAGAGAAAATAACTAATTACACTGCCCCATGCCTGCAGTCCGCGGAGCATCTGGTCAGGTCCAGGTCTTTCGAAGCACATCAACGATTTGGGTTTCGTGGGGCCCTCTTCGGAGGCCTCTCGGAGGCCTCTTGGGCGGTATTGGGGGCCTTTTGGGCCGTCGTCAAGTCATCATAGGCGTTTGGGGCAGATTATTCGGCGATTTCGGGCCCTGTGGACCGTCTTGGGAAGCCCAACTGGAGGGCCAGAGAACACCCAAGGGACACCTGGGGCCTCCGGGGACTGGCCAAAGAGAGCCCCACGGTCCCCTGGGGCCGCCAGATTCTATTGGGGGGGGGCCGCCCATCCCCGGGGATCTCCTGATGTGAGATAATAAAGATAGGCATATATATATATATATAGATATGGTTGTCCCGATGCTGTCCTGGAATGGGCGCGAAACGCATTCGAATCGCACATGTTGCAAAGCGCTTCGCACGAAAAACGCATGCGAATCATACGTATTGCAAAGCGTTTCGCGCGCGCTGCGCGCGCGAAACGCATGCGAATCGTACGTCCAGCAAGGCGTTTCGCGCGCTGCGCGCGCGAAACGCATGACACATAGGTATATATATATATATATGTATATATATGTGTGTGGTTGTCCTAAACATATAGATAGATAGGTAAGTGTTTCAAAGCTTTTCGCTCGCGAACGCAAGATACCTAGTTAGATAGATATAGAGATAAATGGATACATCGATTGTTATGTAGGCGTCTATATATATATATGATTGTCCTAAATAGAAAATTAGGTAGATAGGTCGATACATAAATGAGCAGGTGTGCGCGACAATGCGAAACTTGAAGAAACCACCGAAGAACCCAGAGCCATCGCAAATCGCCCACC